AATTTCTTCTCTTCTTGCATTCGATGCACTGCTCTTGCATGTGTGCCTGCATTGCCCACTGATGTAAACTTTTTATCACAGTTGAGTTTGGTAGCCAGCGGACATGGGTAGATCTTGGGCTTTTTCGGATTGCCCCTTAATGACTGCTTGCTGGACGATGTCCCGTTGCCGGCTGAATCCTCGACGGCTTCGTTTTCTAGCGATTTCTTTGCGCTGGTATCCTCATCGCCTTGACTGTGATCTTGTTCGTCAATGTTGGCTCCTTCATGGTTCAGGACGCCAGAATCATCCGCTAGTCCATCGTACGGCTTTTTTGTCGTGGGAACACTGGCCGGGGAGCCATCGGTGATGTTCCTAGACGCATCTTTCTGAGCGGGAAGCTTGACAGTCTTCGTCTGCCGTTCCGAATGATTCTAGGGTGGTGGGTTAGTAAGTTTGTCCACGTAATTCAGCCGTATTAGTACCTGTGCGGCAGCTCGCTTCCTTGTAAGCGGCGCCATGATGATGAACAGTTATCGCAACCACGGGATGATTGTTGTGATGCTAGAGGATAGTTTGCTTCGTAGGCATGGTCATGACAGCTGGTGGTGTGGATACGAGCGGTACGCTGGTTGATCGTGAACTCGTGGTGGCGTCCGCAGCGAACTCGTGATCTCGTTGAAGAAATTTTTGAGTGTTCGCTGAACAGCGGATTTCGTTTGGCCAAAGACAAGCCCAATGGGATAGAATCTGCCGAAGAAGTCGAGCAGATGTTGACAAGGAAAGAAAAAGGAGATGTGGCGGCGGCAGCAGGTCAGCAAGAAGAGCGCGCGCGAACGCGTCCAAGTTCCCCTTGAGTAAGTAGTGGTCGCGGGGTGAATGTCAAATTATGGAGGTGCCGCGTCGAGGACCATGTACCGAAGGTGAATGACAGATGAGATTCGGTTGCTGGGCCACTCTGTGGTATAACTAGAATACGCATCTAGGATACACGAGATTCGAGGATGGTTGAAGATCTGTGCATACCGACGAAACCACACTACAAACCATCTAAGCATTATCTGGCACAAAGGCAATCTGTTTCCCTGTCTACAAAGCAGCCATCCTAAACGCTTTTCATTTAACGAAACTCATTGGGAGCCGTTGTTGATGACTTAGCTCTGGAATAAAAACGCGGTAAAATCTTTGTCCTCGTTCGTACTAGATTTAAATATGCTTTCCATTCTAACACGCGTTGCTTTTTATCATACGCTGTTGATTTTGATAGCTTGTCGTCTGATTCTTCATCTACGCTTCATATTTCGTCAGGTAAGAATGGAAAGACAGTCTCGAAGAAAGCACTTGGCCCAGGACTCGGTACAAAAGTGATACGTTACCCAGGACTGGATAATTCCGTCGGTTGAAGAGTCGTTTGCCAGACGACTGATGGGCTGACATTCTCAGTTTGAGGTTATCTACGTAGAATGAGTGCTGTCCATGAGGAATGAGCACAGGTCTATTAACGTCAATCTGTCGTGTATCGAAGCCTCTCAATGTCTATTTCAGTATTAGTTCTCACCTTCTAGTCCGTCTTCCTGTCCTTCGTCCTCATTAGTCCTAAGCATTGTCGCAGACCATGTGTTGCTGCTCTCAACCTAGGTACGTCGGAAGCGAATGATGCTGAGTCTTTCTCTGTGAACACCAAGTCGACACCTCGACTTCACTAGAACATCGCGAGTTCCTTGATATAAAGCATTCATCATACCATTCCAGTCGCCTAGCCGATTGATAATTCAAACCTAAAACCGTCACCGCAGAATTGGTGGTGATAAAGTCTGCTCCCAAGCAACCCATTGTCTTAATTTACATCAAACTCTCCATACCAACTACTTCCTTTTAAAGGTAGCTCCAATCTAACCTTGAATTACTTTCATAATAGTACCTAGGTAGACAAGCCTAGGAAAGCATCACTGAAAGCAGACCGTCCCTAAGCGCCTTCAGATTGGTTTCCAGGCGTATTCGTGTTGGAGATGCCGTGGAAAGCATCACCGAAAGCAGAGTCATCTATTTCCGCGTTCATGTCCAAGCCATCACCCAGCGATGCTCCATAACTCGCCATTGCATCGCCGGCAGAATCGAGATCGCCAAGGGAGCTGAAGCCACCAGGGGTCTCTCCGGCGGGGGTACCGGCGGCAGAAGGAGCTTTAGGAGTCGGCTTCGGGGCCTCACCCTCAGTCGCATTGGCGTTGGCCGCGGCGGCAGGGTCCGGCGATGCACCCCCCTTAGGTACCATCACCCAGTCCCCGCTGCCAGTCCCTTGATCGGGCGCGGTGGGTGCATCCTTTGGAGGTTCTGTGTTGCCCATTGTGATGTCCTCCCCGCCAGATGGCGCAGATTGAGCCTCCGACTCTTCAGGAATCGTCGGGGGCACAGGCGCCGGTGACGGCGCGTTTGCGTTGGCCGGAGTGCCGGCGGTCGAGTTGAGCGCTGAAAGGTGAGCCTGTGGTGTGGGGAAGTTGTTGACAGGAGTAGATGTGGCAGAGAAGCCAGTGTGCATTTGATCAAGGAGACCTGCGGCAGTGCCGCCCATGTCAATGTCCGAGTCGCCGACCATAACACCACTATGTTGAGAGCCGGCCTGAGAGGGTCGTCGGGAGGCGGTACCACTTGGCTCAGCTCCTGCCGCCGGAGCTTGCGGAGAAGCCGCAGGCGGCGGAACTGGTGTTGGCTCTTTCACGGGCTCAGGGGCCGGCTCCTGGAAGCCGCCATCCTGGATACGATGAACGTTGTGAAGGACCTCAATATGGCGCCCGAGGTTGGCTTCAACTTGCGCCACGATGTCATCCACCTTCTTGTTGTGCTTTTGAGACCATGTGCCAGAGTTGTCGTCCGCATCTGTGGAATGGCCCTCCAGACGCCAAATCTCCGGGCCCCGCTCCTGAATGGAGTTCTTGACCTCCTTCTCTGCATCCACAAACACGGAGCTGGCTTTTAGGCTAGCCAGGTTCTTTGCATGCTCTACCTTCATCTTCTCCATTTCCGCTTTTGTCGTCTCGAGATGTTCTTGGACTCTCTTTCTGAACTCGTCTGCGAGACCAGGCTCCAACCGACCAATGTACGGCTTCTGAGGAACCTCAGTAAGTGCATTCGCGCTTTGTGCCGTGAAAATACCATCGGTCAAAGATGCGAGCTCGCCCTTAAGGCCAAGTCCGAGATCAGGCGGTGCGATTTGGGCGAGACCGTAAGGGGAAGAAACGATCTCTTCCATCCACTCGTGGTTCTGCTGGTACCGCGCAAAGGAAACGTCTCTGGGAGTAAGATGGTCAAAGAGGTCCTTCTCCAATTCCTCATCGTCGTGCAGGGCTTCGGCGTGCGCCAAGGCTTGTTGCTGGGCTTGCGCCTGAGCCTGGGCTTGGGCTTGAGCCTGGGTTTGGCGGCCACGGCGACCCGATGGGCCAGAGGGAGGGTAGGCCATCTGCTGAGGAACCCTCCGTGACGGGGCTGGAGGATTGTACATTTGAGGTCGTCCGCCATTGCGGGGGAACTGGATACTTGGCCAGCTAGCACGGTCGGATAACATGAAGTCCTTGCGAGCAATCTGGCCGCACTTCTGCAGGTGGTTGCGGGTGGCCATGATGTGCTGAGTATCTTGGGAGACGGGAATAAGGTTGACCGGCACACGGTCAGGAGGGTCCGACGGCCCGTAGTGGACGATCCAGAGGCTGATATCGGGCTGCGGCGCGTTCATCACACCTGTCTGCGAAGGCACAAGACGGAATCTGCGGCGCGCATGCATGGCGACCGACTCGCCGGGGATGAAACCCGACTTGATGTAGTGGATCTCGAGAGACTATGTCCATTGTCAGTAATGGGACCAACGGCGTGACAAAGAGGCAGCATACCAATCCATTGCCAACGTCTTGTCTGTGGTATTGCTCAGGGCCCCAGATCATGCCATCGCTGGCGAAGTTGGTTCCAAGCCTTTTGAGTGGTTGCCATGTGAGATAAATCTGGCCGTCGCGGGGTCTATCGAGGTAGGTCCAGAAGAACGGGGCCTTGTCTTTCGCGACTTGAGGGGCGGCCATAAGCCATTTCGTAACTTGGTTCAAATCGACACGTGCCTGGTCGGCATAATGGTTCGCGGAAATCAGGTGAGCATGGCTCAGCTTTTGACACGTTAGCGATGAGTCTACATCAAATGCACGTCAGGGCGGCGCTGCGTACAAGCTCCTGATCAATTCCGTCACTCGGATCCTGAGCCATGATGGGTCGCGGTCGCGGATTTTGGATATGGTCGTGATTGGCGGTCCTCGATGCGCGATTCTTATTGGCGCAAAGCAATCAATCTTTCCATCAACTTGCGATCTCGTTCGTGGGAAGAGAAGTGCGCAAAGTGACGTTGATGGATGGATGCGTGCGAGATGTGGGAAGGCTGGGGTTGATGGTTGAACTGGCTTGAAGGTCGGTTCGCGTCTCCAAATTTCTCGCGACGAGGCTGAGGTGCCTGAGGTGACCCCTGTCGCGGCAAAGCCAGCCAGAAAGGTCTCCGTCTGGGGTCCGTGCGCGGATAGCTTTCCTAGGTAATGCCTCAGTGGAGGTTCTCATGCCTTTTTCTCTTACGGATCAATAGTGATTTTAAGAAATACTGGACGTTCTGAATCTTTGTCTTCGAAATTATATTTGTCAACTGTCAACATGATACTGTTGCAGGCCTCAATCGGAACCAAGTTCATTTCAATGCAACTAAACTTGCCTCAAGTTGAAATGTAGTCAACTTCAACCTAGCTTCGAAAAAGCCCCGTCCTTAATTCGCAGCATTCGGTTGTCCAAGCTAACTGGTGGTTTTCCGAATTTCACGCCACATATCAGTGGTTGATAGTTCTCTCTTCACGGCACTGTCTCATGCAACTCTCACTTTCATGCGATATCAAGGTCAAATGGGAGGAATCATTTCATTTCATTTCGCCTGGCACCATTATACCAGGTATCATAATAGTTTGTGCCCTTTCCTTAGTCTACGCGTAACCCATCCAAAAATCCTTTTAAGCGTTGTAAGTAGAAGCAGAGACGTTGCCTCCGCGACCGGTCCAGTTAACGTGGTGGTACTCGCCAGCCTTGTACTTCTCGTTGGCCAACTCAGGCTTGACCAGGAAGGTGTGAGCACCGAAGTAGTCACGCTGGGCCTGGAGAAGGTTGGCAGGGAGGTCCTTGGTGCGGTAGCCGTCGAACCAAGACAGGGCGGTGGAGAAGGCAGGAGTCGGGATACCGAGGAGGGCAGCCTTGGCAACGACGTCTCTCCAGCCGGGCTGGGCCTTGTGGATAGCCTTGTTGAAGAAGTCGTCGAAGAGGAGGTTCTCGAGGTCGGGGTTGCTGCGGTAAGCGTTGGTGATGTCCTTGAGGAAGACGGAGCGGATAATGCAGCCACCACGCCACATGAGGGCAATGGAGGGCTTGTTGAGCTTCCAGCCGTACTCCTTAGCGGCCTGCAAAAAGTCTATTAGCATTTATCGTGTGAGGTTGGAAGAGACGGCACGTACCTCCTGCATCAGCATGAAGCCCTGAGCGTAGGAGACGATCTTGGAGGCGTACAGAGCCTGCTCGAGGTCGTCGATGAACTGCTCCTTGTTGCCCTCGAACTTGCTGTTGCGGCCAACGTACTGAAGGAGACCAGAGGCCTTGGTACGCTCCTCCTTGATGGCGGACAGGCAGCGGGCAAGGACAGCCTCGGCGATAAGAGTGACGGGCATGCCAAGGTCAAGGGCGTTGACGGCAGTCCACTTGCCGGTACCCTTCTGGCCAGCCTGGTCGAGGATCTTCTCGACGAGAGGAGTGCCATCGTCGTCGTTGAAGTACATGATGTCGCGGGTAATCTCGATCAGGAAAGAGTCAAGAACGCCCTTGTTCCACTTGGTGAAAACGTCACCAATCTCCTTGTTGGACATACCGAGACCGCGCTTCATGATGTCGTAGGCCTGGGCGTGATGTTAGTTGATGTCGGTTGAAGGGACCAGTGTTATATAACATACCTCGCAGATAAGCTGCATGTCACCGTACTCAATACCGTTGTGGACCATCTTGACGTAGTGACCGGCACCCTCGTCACCGACCCAGTCGCAGCAGGCCTCGCCGTCGCTCTTGGCGGCGATGCTCTGGAAAAGGTCCTTAAGATGGGGCCAGGCCTCCTCGTTACCACCGGGCATCAGGGAAGGGCCGTAGCGGGCACCCTCCTCACCACCGGAGACACCGGAGCCAACGAAGCGGATGCCCTTGGACTCGCAGTACTTGGTGCGGCGGTTGGTATCGGGGAAGTGAGAGTTACCACCGTCGATGATGATATCGCCCTTCTCGAGGAGGGGAATGAGGTTCTCGATGTAGTCATCGACAGCCTTGCCAGCCTGGACGAGGAGCATGACACGGCGAGGGCTCTTCAACAAACCGACGAACTGCTCAAGTGATTGGGCACTTTCGCAGACACAATTAGCATCTCCGCGTGTTTTTGTAGGGCCCGTCGTAATCCTTACCCGACGATGGACTTGCCCTTGGCCTCGTTGGCCAGGAATCGGTCGACCTTGGACACGGTACGGTTGAAGGCGGCGATGGTGAAACCGTGCTATATCAAAGTCAGCAACTTCTGTATAACTTCAAAACGGCCGGGAAAGGCCAAATAAAGGGTGTACGACGTCAGCTGCATTGAGGATGATATTCTACCTAATTGTTAGCTTTTAATTCATCTGTAGAGGATTGTGGTTAACAAACTTGACCCATGACGGCCAGGCCGATGAGGCCCATATCAGCGCTGCGATGTGGTTAGCTACTATTCACATCCGGACTTTGAGTATTCGGGCGCGAAGTAAAGCGGGGCGGGACCTCGGAGCTGGCACAACGCTTGCCACGATATTGGCAAGACGAGCGCTGGTTGTATGAGCATGAGGTGTTGTTGCGAGAGAAGCTGATAGCTCACGGCCAACGTGCATTGGCGCCTCCCGTGAACCCGTTCAACCTCCTCAACCTCACGACAATACACACAGCTGCGCGAATTGGCCAGCATCATGATGTCGTCGTGAGGCTTCGGAGGCCGGAAGCGGGGTGGTGGGGTAATTTGCTTTGGAGCGACGGGGGAGGGAATTGAAGCAGATGATACTTACACTGGTCCAGACATGATGGCGGTTGGTCGGTATGAAAATATAGGGGTGTTTTGATGGAGGAGAGGTTCAAACGCGCGATTCCACGAAGACTGCGGGAGCGTCGAGTTATTTATCTCAAGGGGAATGTGTCAAGAGGACAAGAAGCTGGAGCTTTCGTCAACCCGGACGAAGTTTGTAGGGGGAGGGTCGACGGAGGGGTAGGAGGGGACAATGGGAGGGGGGTGGTTTGCATTGGGGCAGGGGCCCCCCATGACAACCTGCACACTCCCACTCTTAGCTTCCAAGTACTCCCACGCAGTAGGAGGCACAGGGCGTACATGGTGCGGTACCTGGTGCTTCATCGCCGCCATCGCTGCTGTGGGAAACGCCCACGGCTGACTTTCGTCTTTTTGCGTGAGGGAAAGCCAAAGACTGGGCAGAAAAGCGGGACGCCGGTTGGAGCGATTGGCTTTGTTGACGGAGCTTACTCATGGGCAACATGTACTGGCCATGTATCTTTGGCATTTCCCACCAGCTCTTCCAGCGCTTCCGTCCACGCAATGAGAGAGAGATACAGAGACCAGAGACCGAGAGACAGAGGCAGAAAGAAGAGGGACGGCATCGTCACCACCAGCCAAGGTGCTCCATCAAGGCCCCTTGTGCTGCCTCCTCCAATTGGGTGGTTTGTCATGGAGGGGCACTTATGACGATGTTCTTCTGCTACCTCATCTTTCTCGCTCTTGTCAGCAGCCCGGCTCCCCCGTCTGGCATCTTTGCCTAAACACATTTTGCAGCTTGCCTGTATGTATTGCCGTTTTGCAGGGAACACAGACCTGCAACACGATGATTGACAAACAAAACGAATAGCATCAAGCAGCATCATGTCCTCTGACTAGAGAACGCCGTAAGCAGGTACCAACTTGGACCCGTCGCTTTGCTCATCAGCACGCTGCGACGCCGGTGTACACAGCTACCGCATTGTGGCCGTCAGCCGGCCCGCGCGGCGGATGGCGGCCCAGCAACGACCATCATGCCTGCTCCACGCCGGTGGTGTTTTAGTCAAGCAGAGGCGCGCCAGCCTTGACGAAAGACGGTCCTGACTCCTTGCAAAAAGGCGCTTCTGGATCCGTCCTGTTGTGGTCCGATTCGGCGATAGGCACCCTTTCCCATTGGCCGCCGCGAGTTTCTGCCTCACACTCTGCGTGTTCCAGGAAGAGACGAGGTGCGACTCCGGTATCCAAACCTGATGCGTCAGACCCTGACGTTTCGCAACCCACGGCCGCGGAGGAATCACTCTGCGCTCGGTCTAACTTCACGCGGGGGGCTCCTGCTAATCTGTCCCTGTCCACGCCCACGTCCACTGCCCACGATACCTTATTTGCGCAAGGTTGGGTAACGCAAGAGAGACAGTGGGCTGGCGGCATATATTATCACCCTCCCAACGCAACGGAGCTCCGGTGCTCGCTCGCTCGTTCGCTTCGCCCGCTCTTGGACCGTTCATCGACAGCCAGGGGGGGATACCGACGAAAGGCGAGCGCGAGAAACGAGAGACACGGTGCAGTCGAGCTATCACTCGAGCAGCCGCCCTGCACAAACCAGCATGTGCCTCATGCCCCGGACTGCACTTGAGGAAATTCCGTTTCTTCAGCATGGGAAAACACCCCCTCCCATGCTCCGGGCCGTTCCAGCATAGCAGAACACAACATGGCTTCCAGAAACTCCGGACATGGACCCTTGAAAGATGGGAGGAAGGGCGGCGTCGCGTCGCTGCCTTTGATCACAATGCGAGCTCTCGGCGTGATGCCGTCTGGCCGTTAGGACTCGGAGGGAAGGCCGCAAAAAACGCAGCCTTGCCAGTGACCACTCAAACCCAACCTCAACGCATCTGCTGTCTTGTCCTCGCTTGAAGAAGGCAGCGATGCCGCATCCGCGTCTGCATGCGCCTCGCAGCTGGCATCCCTGGCTGTTACTATCCCTGGAAAGACTCGCCAGCAGACAGCGGGACTCGCGCAGAATACGCGACAAATCACGATGCGCTTCAATGGTGTGCAGTCTCCAGGCAAAAGTCGGTCCCAACCAAACCGAAGCTGGCCGTAGCCAGAAAAGCCCGCTCCATTTTCCTCCAGTTGGACTGCTTGGCCGGAGCAGCGAATTCAATCTATTGGGTTCGTTGGGGTGCCCCACGCGTTTTGCTTGCTCAGCCGGAGGGGGACAGAAAATATCGCACCTCCATCTCCCAAGGTACCTCAAGGTGTGGATGGAGGCGCAATCGACGGTAAATCCGTCCATGCTGATGCCACCACACTTCGGCCTCGGGCCTGGCTCAGTGGTGCTCACAAATCTGGGCCGTGACAAAGGAAACGAGGGGCAACCTTTAGGTGGGGGTTAAACACCTAACACCGTATCGCCGCCTTCGGGCCTTGGATCGGTCGCACTTGCACGGGTCGGAGACGTCGGTTGACAACTCCGCTGGAGCTCCGCTAGGAATCCACGCGCATTATTGATTGGCATGGACCTGACCGTGGCAGTCGCAGCGGCCTCAAACGGGCCCTCTCCGGACGCCATGATGTCAATTCCCCATGTAAGGAGGGACGTGGAAGAGACACAGAATAATTACACTAACAATTATCCGCCATGTCCGTCTAATATTTCTCGACGGATAAAATACGTCTGATGCAGGAACGGGTGGTAAGGAACTCGGGCGGCCGAGGAACCCAGCCGAGCGGAACGATACCACATGGGAGAAATGGCTCAAGACGGAAATTCCGTCCGCTTGTTTTCCGCTTGATTCTGGCGACCTGCTGGGCCTTGGCGGATGGAACTGCACGGAGTGACCTCGGTATTTGCTGGCGATTGAATTATGTAAGCCCGTGATCGACGGCAGTTGCGGACCCACCATCCGAAGAGGGGAGTGGAAAGCACCGGCTCCGCTGAAATGTTCCAGCCACATCTGTACACGTGACCATGGAGCTTGTTCTCAGCCACACATTCCAAGGCTTTCGCCGAAGCTGCGCCGCCAACATCGTCACATCCTGCCCGTACATCACCAACGACACCCGAATCCTTTGCCATTTGCGACAACACCAGACGCCACACGTCGGCTGCAGCAAAGACACAAAGCTTAAGGGAAATCTCTTTGAGCAGGAAATACCCAGGCTCAGAGGTACGTTCACCACACACAAACAACACCGCGCAAAGTCTTGTTCTTTGCGAAGGAGCCCAAACCAAAAAAATCCTCCTCCACATTATCCGCAGTCATTCATCATGGCCTACCCGCCCCCTCCAGGTATCTCCAGCGGCGCCTCCAGCAACCTATCCCACCCGTCCCTGCCCGCGCGGCCTCCCCCCTCAAAGTCGTCCGGCGGCTTCAAGTCCGCCTTCAAGCCCGCCTTCGGAGCGGCGTCCACCGCGTCACCCTCCTCCTACTCGAGCGCACCGAGCTACTCCAGCGCACCCGCGGCCAGCAACTATGGCCCCTCATACCCGTCATACCCCCAACAACATGCCTCGCCCTCCGTAGGCGCCGGCCCCTACCAGGCACCGCCCTCGTACCACCAATACCCGCAAGCCGGCGGCGCCCCCGGCGGCTACGGCCAGACGAGCAGCTACACCGCTCCCCCTTCGACCGCGTCATACTCCGCCGCGCCGCAGATCCGCAACCCGTTCCCCGTCCCCGGCGCCGCCCCCGCCGCGGGCGGAGCAGGCGCCTCCGACTACGACCCGGACATGGCGATGCAAATAGCCCAGTGGCAGAGCGCCTACACCTCCAAAGACGCCTCGGCATCCGCCTCCGCCACCGCCTCCGGCGCAGCGGGCCGCGGCACCCCCAACGTCCTTGGCGGCACCGGCCCCAACGCCACCGACATCCCCGACCCGGCAGCCGCCGCCGCGGCCGCCAACGCGCCCCCGGAGCGCAAGAAGACGGTCGTCCGCGAGGGCGGCGGCAAGAAGTGGTCCGACGACACCCTCGCCGAGTGGGACCCGAGCCACCTGCGCCTCTTCGTCGGCAACCTCGCCGGCGAGGTGACGGACGACTCGCTGCTCAAGGCCTTCTCGCGGTGGAAATCCGTGCAGAAGTCGCGCGTCATCCGCGACAAGCGCACCGCCAAGTCCAAGGGCTACGGCTTCGTCTCCTTCAGCGACGCCGACGACTTCTTCCAGGCCGCCAAGGAGATGAACGGGAAGTACATCCAGAGCCACCCCGTCGTCGTCCGCAAGGCCAACACCGAGATCAAGATCACGAATGTCAAGGAGAAGGACCACCACAACCACCGCAACAAGAAGAACAAGAAGCACTCTGGCCACGGCGGCGGTGGTGGTGGGAACAAGCACGAGGGCGGCGGCGGGTATGAACCCCACCTCGGACCCGTACATCACCACGGCGTCACGAAGCCCGGCCAGAAGACCAAGAACGGTCTGAAGCTCCTCGGTTGAGGTTACTCGTTGGTCTGGTTGTACGCTTGCTTCGCGGTGGCTCCTATTACACCAAGGCAACCGCATCCCCTACATGATTTTCAGCATTGGAAAGTGGCGTTTGGAGTTGGAGGCAGAAAGCATACCCATGTAATAAACCACACAATGCATTACAAAACATAGACATGAATTCACTCATGAAAACTTCTTTGATCATGACATATTCTTGATTCTCTGCGTGTCTAACCTCTTGGGCATTACACTAATGATGGGGGACTCAAACCCGGCAGTCTGATACATCCCCCCTTGATTTGCTTCCCTTCTTCCGTCTACTGTCGCCAGTAGGGTATATCCATCTCAATATGCAAGCTTCTCATCCTCTGTGGCCCTCTTGAAACCCTTGGGTCTGAAAAGCCACGACCCGTTTTAGACTCTTTCAAAGATCTCGGTACAGGTTGTCTCTGTCCGGATAAGTCTGCAAAAACAAACTCCTTGCCTTCCCTGTCTGCCAACCGGCCAGATATGCTTGCTTCCAAATGTACAGTTTTGTTATGTTTTCTTGACCCAAAATACGACAAAAGAGAAAGAAAGCCACGCGTCTAATTGTCGCGGTGGGCCTGAGCCGTCCTCGACTCCTGCGCCGTGTGGCTCGGGTTCGGCATGATGTCGCCGTCCGCCGTGACGAGGTTGTCCTCGTAGTCGGTGCTGTTGCGCAGCAGACCCGTCTCCTCGCCGCCATCATCGTTATCGCTGCCGCTGGAGCCAGAAGACTCGGCAGCCTCCATGTGGCCGCGCTGGACCTCCTTCTGGGCGTCCTCGCGCATCTTGACGATCTTGATGTAGTTGTACGCCACAATGGCGCCAATGGTGGTGATGAGACCGACAAAGTTGACGGGGGTCAGGCGGTCGTGGAACACAATGGCTGAAGCGGAGATGGTGACGACCTCCTTGAAGATGCCCGCAATCGAGAGGGTGACGACGGAGGTACGCTGCAGCAGAGCGAACTCGGAAGCAGTCATCAGGAAGGCGATGCAGCCGGGGAACAGCAGGAACAGAGGAGTCATGAGGAGACCCCATTCCTCCACGAGCACCTCGAGGCCCTTGATGAGAGCGGGGAAGCCCTCGAGAGGGATGGCGATGACGATCAGGGTAAGGAACATGACCGGCGCCAAGAAGAAGATGCTAGAAAAGGGATTCGAAGTCGCAGGGTTACGTAGAAGCAGAATTTGGGTCAAACCCCAGCGGAAACCGGAGAAGAAGGCCGCTGAGATGACGAGGATGAAGCCGGCCAGGTTAAACTCGACCTCTCCCGAGACCATGAGCACCACACCGGCCGTCATGGTCGCAATAATGGCAACGAGACGCCACGTCGGCTTCTCGAGTCTAAACAAAAAGGCGAAGATCAACACGAAGGCAAGGGAAGATGATTTGCACATGGCTGGACTTGGTTAGCAACTCAATGTCGAACATCGGCCAGGAACAGGGACGTACTGTAGAATGTGAGAGTAATAAACTTGAGGGAAGTGTTTCCGAGGCCAATATCGAGGCCCGTCGCGGCACCGCATGGGCCAATTCGCGTCAAATAGAACATCTTCGTCATCAGCGGCCGTTCTGGCTCGGACTCGTGCCGTGAACGACCCAGGTCGGAGTGGCGCTGCGCATTCGAGGGGCGCAGGGAGGGGATCAAAAACAAAATCAAAGAGGCGAGGGCGAATTGTACCAGCATGTGGCATGCAGTCGTAAACATGGGGAAGGAAAAGTTCAGGTGGTCCTTGTCGAACATCCATTTGTTGTACTAGGGGAATCGATTGTCAGCTCGAGGTGACGCTGACGGTCTGGAAGGGGGATGTTGTTGCTTACCAGTGAGATGCTGAGGGAAAAGAGGTACCACAGCAGGATTAACACGATATTGACCATTGACCTCCTGATAACATTTTGGTCTGCTTCCTTCTTCTCTTCGGCTGTGACGCCTCCCCCTGGCGCGATTCTCTGGTCTAACCTTCTGTTGTTCCGCTTCTTGTGCTTCTTTCTCCTCTTGTCCTTCTTCGTCAAGCCGGTCTCCTCATCGTCGTGGAGGTCCTCATCGGAAAAGCTATCGTTGTCGATGTCTTTGGAGGCAGACGGCAATGAGCCCATGTCCTCTTCCGAGATCTTGGGCTCTTCGAGCAGGTTTCCGCTATGGCCTCGTGACGGGGTTCGGTGGTGGTTGCTGGAGCCGGCGCTCTGCATAAGACTGCTCCTGCGCCGGCGATGGCCGGTCTCTTTCAACGGCTCCATCTCTATGTCGTTGCTGTCGTCGGCGACAGGGGCGACTGGCGAGTGTTGCTGACGGGAAGGGGACGGGTTAAGTGAAGATGAGTAGGAGGAGCCCAGGCGCGGAGAAGCGTGGGCAGGATCGGCAGGTTGGTCTCGTGGCCGGGGGTCATCCGCGGAAGAGTCGCTGGTCGCGTGTCCAGGTGAAGGAGACTTGGGTGGTGGGAGGAGCAAGGGCGACGGGCTCAGGAGACGACGGTTCTGGTGGTGGAGATGTGTGTCCGTATCGTGGGATGACGAATTGGCGTCGTCGTCGAGGTCAATGGGGTCGGGAGAAGATGATATGGCACTGGGAGCAGAAGAGCGACTGGGGTCGGGAGGCAGCACATGCACTAGGGATGAGGAATCTGAGGAGGAGGTGGACATGATTAAATCTGGTTTCCACCGGGCGGTTCACGGCTGGGGCTGGAGGATAGGTCCCGGTGCAGGTGCATTTGCCATTCGGCAAGGTAGGTAAAGCGTGAGGTAAGGTACGGTACGGTAAGGCATGCGGTACGGTACTTCGTACAACGAACAAGCCAACGAACGGGGTGTGTGAATGAAATGGATTGGATGGGTCGGGGGGTCTGGGTCTGGTTCTGGAGACTGGTCTGGCTGGATCTGGGACTAGTTTGCTTGGTCTTTTGGGTTCGGGGTCGGGACGAGGAGCTGGGCGCGGTCATTTGCAGCTCTGGCTGGTTGAGGAGGAGCTGGGCTTGCTGCCGCTCGGTGCTTGGATTTTTGCTATGGTCTGCTGTGCTAACTAACTAGCAGTGCTTTACCAGAAGGGGGGGAAGGCAGGAAGTGGCAGACAGACTTCCACCGTCGCGAGACACTGGAGAGGCGCGGAGATGGTCACGGCGGTGCGGATCATTTCTGGACCCCCAGTGTCGCGCCCACACCAGCCGATGAGTGTGAGGTGGGCGGCCACCAAGGAGTGTGGGCTGGGCTGGCACGCTGGGGAGGGGTTTTTTCAGCGTGCCTCTGCCCTGTAGGCAAGCGCACTGTACGCTATGCAGGCTTACCGCCAGTTACCGACCAATCACAGGCAGTTGTCGCGGTGTCTCGCTGATGAGATGTGGGCCCAATCTTGGCGCGCCTCACGGTGGAGACGGCTCGTGGATTTGCTGCTGCAGGACTGGAGCGGTCAGGGTCGCCTGCTCAGGGATTCCTTCCCCTCGGCTCCCTGTGACATGCCAGCTCACAGTGATGAGCACCACTGATTGCCCTTTGTTCCAAGAGAGAGAGAGGCGAACCCCATGAGAAATGCAACCAGCATAATGCACCGGACCCCGACTGGACTGGGACTGGCAACACCTGTGCTGCGGTGCGGTCAGGTACCGTTCGCCGTTCCTTAGCTTACCTACCTGCGTTCCGCGGGCCTTCCGGGTCCTCCTGGCAAACTGGAAGCGGTCCATATTGTCGACGACTTGTTCTCCCCCGCTGTTAGTGCATCTTGCATCCATCCGCATCCCACCTCGGGAGCTGAGGATCATGGGCCATCGTGGATCGTTGGAACTTGGAAGCCCAGAGAGAAGGAAATACTGGGTCGTTCTTGTCTGGCTTGTTGGTCATGGACACATTGCTACCTGACCGCAACGTAACGGCAACAAACCAACGCATTGCCCGCAATATCACAACAACACGCCGTCTGCTTTGAGTCATCAATCTGGGCCCCGTTCGACGGCTCATCGTCCCCGCCGTGTGCCAATGGCCGACTGCCTGACTGATTTTCACAATTCATTCAACGACCTACCTTATTTCTCCTGAGTTCTGGCCTGACCTGACTCCTGAGCCTGCTCTCCTGAGGCTGGGTAACGGTATCCGTACCTGAAAGGGGATTTAAGATTGCCTGACTTCATGGTGCCTTTAGGCGAGGTGAGCTACAGCATGCCAACCTAAAAAGACTAAGGCGCACTTTAACAGCTAGCTCCCCTAATCCTATTTCTCCCATGCCTTTTCGACGCATGACACCGGGAGGCGGGCAGGCTGGCAACCGGCAGGGAAGCGTCGTCCGAAGAATTGCAGAAAAGTGTCCTCCCGAGTTTCACACGCCTTTACCTCGATTTAAGCTTGGTCCAGCCGTCTCTCACGCTCAGAGTCACAGGTAGGTTCTTCCGTTGGCTGGCTGGCTGGGCCACACCGCAGCCACATCCGAGTGAACCAGACCGCAACACCAAGACCAAGACCAACATCACACACACACACACACACATCTACCGCAGCCGTGGGAGGTGTCCTTGCTGTCGGTTAAGGTTCACGCAGCCATGTGGTCGCTCGTGCAAGTAGAAAGTGCTCGGGTGACCAGACCCCACTCGCACTCGCACACACCACTGCTACTATGCATCCAGCACCGTCCTGCTCCCCGTGCGGTGTCTACCTCGCCTGTCCGTCCGTCATCTTTCCTCCTCGGACCAATCTGCCGCCCAGAAATCAAGACTTGCCTACCGAGCCGGTTTCTCGGACAGTGCCGCGACCCGCTGCTCCCGAGGAGCATCCGAAATGTGAAGTCGAACTTCTCGACATGTTTGGCAAAAGTTTAAAATCAATAATTCCAAGTTCATATTGAATTCTCCTGCTGATTAACAAACGATCTGCACACACTCTAAACAACCGTTGCATTGTCGTTGTTTCTGGAGCCCCGTTTCTTCCGAGACTTCCAAGCACAATAACAGGCTTTTGCTATCAGCCATCCAACAGATCTTGCCTCGGGTCGTTTCGTTTGCTTTTCGAATAGACGACGTTGTTTCTCAGCTTGGCCGTGTTGTCCCGCCTTTTCACATGGAGGTCTAGACCGAGCCACAATCCACACACACATGTGTCTACTTACACAGACGGCGGGGGGAGAGGCTGGAAAACGCTCGAGTCCGGGAGGCTTGAAATCGGGGCATCTATCGATTGACAGTTTTTTTTTTTCTTTCTGCATGGACCGCGACGGACGAGCCCGGCCAGCCTCCCCCGCAATATCGTTCACTAACAATACACGCCTTCTCAGTCTTGGAAGCTGGTTGGGAATGCACATGTCTCACACACTAACCCGCCTCTCCCAGAAATATCCCCGAAGCTGGTTCACCTGAACACCTGCAATGCGGTCACCCGCCACACGCCGTTTCTCTCCCGCCTCTTCCTCCCTTCCCGCCGTGGCACTCTAGGAGCTTGGGGCAGCTCGCGTAGCGGGAAAAGGGATGAGAGAGAGAGAGCGGTCATGATGTCAGCCACCGTCATTCAGCCCTAAACCGAGTGCGTAAAGGGGCTGTCATTTGGATTCCCGCGCCCCCTCCCCGATCGATCTTACGACTCAGGTGAGCCAGGCCGCAGTGGATATTCCGGAGAGGAGCTCTTTTCCAAAAGATCCACGCCAAGGGAAGAAGAAAGCAGAAACCCGAACGTCGGGCGAGAGGGTGACAGAACGGGTGCTGGATGTTGGCCCGCCCTCGGTGCGAGTTTACAGGATCGTCTTAGCTCGCGCAGGGTAGCTGATGTGCCTGACCCAGCTCGGCTTGCAGATCTGACAGCTCTCCCGTCGATAGAGCGCTCCCGCCAAGTGGAGATGCAGCAGCTTCTCGACGCGTCCAAGGCCAAGTCGACGGCGTCATCGGTCTGCCTCGACATGACCATCAGTCTCTGTCGGTTTCTATTGTCCAGCAAAGTCAATCAGCTCGAACCATTTGACAGCATCGATGGATCTCGCAGCTATTGGCTATTGGATGCGTATCACAATATGCATCTCGACGCAAGCGCCGTCCGTTCGTTTCCTGTGTAATCAGGATTCACGTCTTAGTGGACGTTTTCCCTTCGACTAGTTAGACACCGTCTCGACAAAGCCCAGCGGTAAGATCGGTCTCCTTGGCGCGCCTCGCAGCAGCCACCGAAGCTGCAGGACCGCAAGCTTCCCGTGTTTCCCGTGTTCAGCACTCGGCCGGACACCCGGGGTTTACCCTTCTCCCTTGACCGAGGCTTGACTTCACACCTTACCACGACTTCATGTCATTCGTAGATGAGAGAGAGACATTAACCGTGCAGCCTCACCAACACGTAGTGTGTCTGTCAAGCCCTGTCTTGACCATTGCTTTTTCCGCGACAACAATCAAGTTTCTAGAAATCCATCCTTGAAGAAAAACACAGCCAGTACTGAGTCTTCCCGCCGCTCCGGCAAACCGACGTCATGGCTCAGCAGTGTCCGAAGAGACATGCCGCCGGCAGCCATGCCGGATACCTACCTATCGAGGACTATGGAATGATCGGCAACATGCACACATGCGCGCTCGTCGGCATGAATGGTTCGGTTGATTTTATGTGTTGGTACGAAACGCATTTCACTTTGGAGTCCTGATGCTTGGCGTTCACTTACACGAATTGATCAAATCGGTTGCTATGCTCAATATCACTTGATGGCGCCAAAATGGTTCATCGAAACGCCTGATTGGCCAACACACATGGAAGCTCAAGTGAGCCAACATAGTCAACGTTCTTTTTTCCCGGGACTTCGAGTCTTGCTCTTCGTGATATGTGCCAATGGCTCTAAATCAAGAAGCCTGACTTATACTTTAGGCCCGACTTTGACTCCCCTACCGTCTTCTGTCGTCTCCTCGACAAGGACAAAGGAGGCTTCTTCAGCATCTGCCCTCCCGCATCCAAGCATTGCACGACAAAGTAAGAGAGAGGCCCGTCTCGGAGCCACGCCACATGCCGTGACACTGACCACACCCGAAGACAGCAGTACCTCCCATCCTCCAACATCCTTCAGACGAGATACATCCATGATGACGGCGTCGTCGACCTCGTAGACTTCTTCCCCCGCCCAAAGACGGCCACCGTTCTGGCCAAGAGCAACCGGCAGAGCGCCTTTCGCGAGACCACCAAGATCCAGGAGGAGCTTAAGAAATGGCTTGTTCGCCGCGTCGAGTGCATCCGCGGCCGTCTGGAGATGGGTTTGTCTTCTCACCTACATCACTCACAGAATCACTTCAACTCACAAACATTACAGATATTGAGCTCTTCCCCGCCTTCCAATACGCCACTGAGCCCCATGTCACCACAATCGTACAGCAGACACACACGCGCGACAACCCCAGCAAGGCCGTGACCTTCCACAGCGAGCACTACAAGCTCCAGCTCGACGTCACGGTCGACGCCGAGTCCGACGAGGGGGCCACCGCCGCAGCCGCCGCACCATCCGTCACCTTCACCAAGGAGAAGCGCGACGGCATGCTCGGCGAGGGCGTGGTCGCGCACATTGCGATCGAGGAGGGCCAAGCCATCTCGTTCGTGCTGCGCAACGACATCCCGGACCACGTCACGGAGGACATCACCACGGCGGCCCTCGACGGCCAACAGCACGACACGCAGTCGTTCTGGTACAACTGGATCTCCAAGAGCAGGTACAAGGGCCGCTGGAGGGAGGTGGTCAACCGGAGCCTGATGCTGCTCAAGATGATGACCTACGAGCCGACGGGGGCCATCATCGCCGCCCCGACGTTTTCAATCCCTGAGGACATTGGAGGTGTTCGGTAAGTGTTGTGCTATCTCATGACGGAGGAAACCTTCATAACCCAGTGGACACGCAGCAACTGGGACTACCGCTTCTGCTGGGTCCGCGACTCCAGCTTCACAATCTACATCCTCCTCCGTCTGGGCTTCTCGGCGGAAGCGGACGCGTACATGGACTTCATCAGCGAGCGCTTCATCAAGTCGCGCGGCCCCGGCGGCGAGCTGCCCATCATGTTCACCATCCGCGGCGAGACCGAGATCCCGGAGGTCGAGCTCTCCCACCTCGAGGGGTATAGGGGCAGCAGGCCCGTCCGCATCGGCAACGGCGCCGCGTTCCACCAGCAGTTCGACATCTACGGCGAGCTCATGGACGCCATATACTTGTACAACAAGTACGGAAAGCCAATCAGCTGGGATCAGTGGTGCTCCGTGAGGGAGATGCTGGGTGAGACCCCCCTGAAACCTTATGGGATAGAGACGACAGCGAGCTAACATGCGGCAGACTTTGTTCTCACAATCACAGACAGTAAGGTCTTCTCCTGATGAACTCGTCTGCCCCCTTTTTCTTACGCGATTCCAGAACCCGACATGTCCATCTGGGAAGTCCGCAACAACAAGCAAAACTTCACCTACTCCAAGGTGATGCTCTGGGTCGCCTTCGACCGCGGCCTTCGCTTGGCGGACAAGCGCAACTTCCCCTGCCCCAACCGCAGCAAGTGGCTCGAGGCCCGCGACAACCTCATGGAGGAGATCATGGACAAAGGCATGCCCTTCGCTAACACGTGTTCCCCCGCCCCAGGGCCAATCTCACTAACACGGCCCCCCAGGCTACAACAAGGAGATGAAATCCTTCGTCCAAAGCTACGAGAACAACACAATGATCGACTCCTCCATCCTCATCGCCCCGCTGGTCTTCTTCATCGCCCCCAACGACCCGCGCTTCCTCAACACAATGGACCGCATCCTCCTGCCCCCGGAGAAGGGCGGCCTGACCAGCACCGGCCTCGTCTACCGCTACGACACGGAGCTCTCGGAAGACGGCGTCGGCGGGCGCGAGGGCGCCTTCAGCATGTGCACCTTCTGGCTCGTCGAGGCCATGACCCGCGCCTCCGTCTACGAGCCAAAGTACCTCGTCCGCGCCGTCAACCTCTTCGAGAACATGCTCAGCTTCTCCAACCACCTGAGCATGTTCTCCGAGGAGATCGCCCGCAGCGGCGAGCAGCTCGGCAACACGCCCCAGGCCTTCAGTCACCTGGCCCTCATCAGCGCCGCCTTCAACCTCGACCGTGTCACCGAGTTTATGCGGTAAAAGGACGGAGCTGTCACCCGTAGCGGGAGAAGATTGATTAGTAATATAACATATATAGATTGACGGTGTTCATGTTCAATACAGCTTCGTGAAATGTTGATGAATTAGCATAGCTGGACACCTATGAGAGTTCCAGCTAGGCCGGGAATAATTGTATGTTACCGCCCCCCTGAGCCGCCAATGTCTCTCTCATGGCATCTGCCCCATAGACAATGCTTTTGTAGTGTAAACGTCTCCCCTCCTGTCCAAAAAAATCACGCCCCCCCCGGTAAAACGCCGCGCTATGCCCTTTGGTAATCACTTCGCCTTCTTCCTCAACGTGACACCCCCTCGTTGCCGTCGAGCGCCACGTGCCTTCGATCTAGTAATTCGCGTGTCCGTCTCCTATGACAAGTCCATGCTGTCCCGGTCGTCGCCCAGCCTGTCGCCCACAGAACTCAGCCCGGAGCTCGGCGGCCTCGACTCCTCCTTGATGTTCGGTGATGTCGCCGACAGAGCGCTCGCCGGCGAGGGTCCGCGCATCTTAGCCCGCCACGTGTGGATGCTGGGTAGGTCGCCGCCCTCGACTTGCACCTCGCCCACGTCGTTGCCCTTGCCGATGATCGTGCCGTGGTACTTTGAGTCTTCGCCGGTCTTGCTGTGCTTCTTCTTCAGGACTGTGCGTCATTTAGTCTCCTCATCTTCAGTCAAACAGACCGGGGGGTTCACAAACCATTCAGGTAATCCCCGAGCTCAAGCTCTCCATCGCCCACCGCCGCCTCACGGATAGCCTTGTTCCTCGGTCCAGAAAACCACCTGATAAACTCCTCCACGCCGCGGATGTCCTCCACCACCACCTCCCTCTCGCGCTCCCTCTCCACGACCGTCCCCGCATTTGCCATCGCGACGTCGTCGCCGTTCTCTGCAGGCGCCCCCGCGACGCCGTTCGCCTCCATGACGTCGTCGAGGATCTCTCCCAGTATCGCGCCCCGTCCCTCGGCGCTCACGTCGTCCGGCGGCACGGCGCCCAGCTCCTGGAGCGCCATGCGCACGTCCACGATCCCCGGCGCATCGCCTTCCTGGTTGTTATCCGACGCGTGCCGCGCCGTCGCCTGGCACAGGGCCAGCATGTACCGCGCTGCCAGCTCCGTCACGGCGTCGAGGACGACCGGACGCGCCGCGTGGTAGCCTGTCGCGCGGAGGATCTGGAGAACCGCGGGGCGGAGGAGGGCGTGGAAGAGTAATGGTGGGGGCGTCATTTTGGGTATGTGTATGTGGTTGTGTTATGTTCGATGAACACCGGTATTTCGCGTGAAGGAAAGATTATGGCCGGTTCGGTTTCCGCTTGTCGAGAAGAATGAGCGTAGTTCAAGAGGAAATCGCGGGTGCTGTGGCAGGGCAAGAAGGTGCGATTCCGTCCGTCACCATCGATTCTGGAGCTGTGTTGGAGAGCTTCGCATGATGCTTCGGTACGTGTTTTCGGGTCGCCGCAGTGTTTCAACGGATTCACCGTCGCGTTCGATCCGTCGTCTCGCGATAGTCGTCAGTAATCGATGTTTGTTCGGTCTGGCCTTCGAGACCAAGCAGGTGCGCACTTCGAAATTTCAGCCTCGTTAGAAGGAGCTCGGACCAGCAAAATGCAGGAGCTCTTGGGCTGCAGTCATTTTGGCAGCAACGTTCGCTGGGATTTACAGTGTGAACACTGTGTTTGTACATGCAGTCAGTCACTGGGACTTGTTTGCGCAGTGCAGGATCTCTCCTTCATTTTCATATCTGACTTTTGGAGTTTTCCCTACTTACTGTCCACTCCATCTCTGCGTGAATCATACCAGGGCTATCCAATATCTTTTCAACCGAAACCTGCCTGACTGCTAACCTCAAGTTCAATTTTGTATTGCCCAACCTCACCCCTTGCGACTCCTTACTTCTGCCTCACGGACAGGTCCTCCGCCTTATCGATGCCCGTGTACTTGTTGATCCAGCCAAGTACTTCTCTATGCCATACCAAGGAGTTCTCTGGCTTCAAGACCCACTGTTCTGAAGTTAGCCATTATACGAGCCCGGACTCAGCATTGACACTTACATGGTTCTCATCAGGGAACATCACCAACTTGCTGGGTACTTTGCGTGCCTGCAGCACATTGAACATCGCCAGACCCTCTGAAATCGGCAGTCTGTAGTCTAATTCGTTGTGAATGACCAACATAGGGGTGGCCCACTGGTCGAGATGGTGAGCAGGATCCCACTTCTCGTAGCCCGTGCGGTTCTCCCAGAGAGTACCTCCAAAGTCGTGGAGGGGGAAGAACAACTCTTCGGTAGACCACTGGTTGAGTGTTGAGAATACACCGTCGTGGCACACCAGCGCCTTAAACTTTCTTCCAAGTTCGTGTCCCTGGATCCAGTCTGGCAGACAGTTAGCGCAACTATGCCACGTCCAAGCCTATTGTCAACTTACTAATCATGTAGCCTCCATAAGAAGCACCCAAAGCAACGGCATTCTTCGAGTCAATGTATGAGATGTTCTTCTCAATATGGTCAAAGCACTTGACCAAGTCAACGTACGGCCGGCCACCCCACTCGTTCTGGATGTTGTCGGTGTGCTGTTGTCCGTAGCCGGTGCTTCCCGTCGGGTTTGGCATCACCGCGATGTATCCCTGCTCAGCAAAGATGGCCGGGTTCCAGCGAGTGCTCCAGCTGTCCATCCATGCAGCCTGAGGCCCTCCGTGGATCAGGAAGGCGAGCGGGTACTTCTTGTTTGGGTCAAAATCAGATGGCTTCACCACGAGCGCGTGAACGTCGTAACCCTCGGCTCCCTTGTACCAGAACTCATCGCACTGAGACTTGGACAGACCGAGAGACTTGCCGTGCTTTGAGCTTGACGAGACGAGGTCTGACTTCTTGCTGACAGGGTCCAGAATTGAGTAGGCCGAGTTCTCAACTCTAGACGACGTGCTGATAAACAGACTATTGCCGTCATCCCCTAGCAACTTCGCCTCTAGAACTGAGCCGTCCTCGTAGATTGCGGCGGGGAGGTCCTTGGCTTGGTGTGGCGTGGCAGGCAGCTTCCATAGCTTCGCGCGACCGTGTTCTTCAGCGGACACAAAAAGCTCCGAGTCGTCTTTGCTCCAGGTGACCCATTCCGGCCGAGCGTCCCATCCGCCGACGCCATCCTCTGTCTCGTAGAACTCCTGCACGCTCGACAAGTCGAAGATGTCCGGGATCAGCAAGAGTCTTGGCTTGTCCGTCTCGTACTGGTCGCTCTTCATCCTGGTGAACGCAACCTTCTTGCCGTCCCTTGAAAACACCGGCGAGGCGGAGTAGCCACGAAGCTTGCTCGTCTTGACCACCTGAGGCGCAGGCGGCTTAGTCTCCGTAAACGACTTCAAAGGAATAAAGTAGAGGTCGGTCTTCGTGTAAATCGCTGGAGAAATCTCGGGGTCGCGCGCAACAAAGACGATGCCGTTCTTGCTGATGTCAAAGTCTCCCGCACCACCGAACGGAGGGACAGGGGATTGCAACTTTGTGCCATCGAGGGCGTTCACCAAGCCGGGATCTTCCAACTTGTACGACTGATCTTCCTTTTTCAACAGTCCGTACCAGAGAGAGTTGTGGTTCTCGTTGCCCCATGTATCCCAGTGTCTAACAAACAGACTCGAGTATATCTTCCCTGACGACAATTGCTTCTTCTCGGCCGCCGGGTTGTACATGGCCCCAGACGGGGTGGTCAGGACACACAGAGCAATCGCGACCTCGTTGTCAGAGAGTCGCTTGACTTTAAGGCTCGACAGACTTCCTTCAAAGTTGCGAATCTCCTTGACTCTGCCATCTCATCGTTAGTCGTGCTCTGGAGGTTTTCGCCAAGCGGAGCACCTACACGGACGGTTCGGTGATGTTACCCAGTACAAGGCTGGTAGTGCCCTTCTCGCCGCTGCGAAGGAGCACAATCTCCTGGTCTGAAATCCATGTCGCATCGTTATAGGACTGGTCCTCGTAGAGGAGCGTGGAGTGGCCGCTTTCGACGTCGAGAACGCGAGTCTGGGCGGTCTTGTTGTGGGATTCAAACGAATACGTCGAAACCTGACCAAGTCAACCAATGCATGCTCAAAGTCACGTCGCCGCATTCAAAGGCCACGCTTAATTGGGGCGGCGTCTAGATAGAGCATTGTCATAGACTTACAGTGTACAGCACTTTGGAGCCCGATGGGTTGGGAACACCGGGAGACCTGCGCGGGGCAGAGAGGAGGACCTCGGGTGTAAACTTGGAAGCTTGTATCGTCATCATGAGGAGCTGCAGAGGGACCTGATATTTCATTAATCACGAGGTTCACTGGAAAGGAGGACTACCAACAACGGACGTCAACGTGGGAGCTGAGCTGTAGATGTATGACGAGCGATTCTGTTCCTCTGTTGCAGGGCGCACCTCAACGACGGGGTTCGACCTGCTGGCATGGAGCTTGGTCGAGGAGCCCCGCACTAGCTACAAACCGGGCTAGCAACGGCTGTTAGAGAGCCGACAAGGTTCTCGGGCCCCTGCTCAAGCGCTGCACAGGCTCAGGTGCACCCCTCAAACCCCTCACTGCAGACCGTCCCATCGGCTCCGAAACCACTTGGCGCTATTGAGCTGGGGAGCATCACGCGAAGCAGACGGCTAAAAGCTTCAGTCGGAGGCAGGATGATGCATGATGCGAGTAACCTGGGTTGATGATTGAGTGAACAATGTCTTGGCCTTAGCAATTTGTCAAACATTTCAGGACGGAACGAAGGCCTAGCCGTGGCAATTGCGAAGGTTGAATGAAGATAGTATCTTGATTGACCGTGTCCGTAGAGGTGTCAAAAGGTAAACAATCTCATCCAGACGAAATGCCTGGTCTTGGCCAATAGTCTCGCGCTGTAAGCCGAGAAAGGCAGTTGCATACATTCTCTTTAGTGCTCGAAGGCAGACCTCACCATCAAGCGGAGCCATGGCCGGCCTCGCAGTTCCATCGAAGTGGCCTGACAGGCCCAGAGACTCAAAAGTTCGT